AAATTCAATTTCAATTTAGCGATGATCATTTTCAAACCATAAATTCAATTTCAAATTAGACTAATTCAAATTCAGTTTTCAAAAGCATTTATTCAAGTTACAATTCAGATTCAATCTGAGCAATTCAAATTCAAATTTAACTTATTCAAATTCAGTTTCTGATGGCACAGATTTCTGCCCATAGTTCGCTCACAGCCATCGATAGTACCGAAGGCAACCCGAAGACAAAGTTTTGCAACCCAAAATATCGCCCTCTGGTGGCGACTAAAACAAATGCAGGTTTAAGGCACTTCCAAAGCTTGACTGATGTTAAATTTTTAAGACTGATGCCAATAACAGCAGTCGGTTGTTTAAAAATCCAATAGACACATGAAACATAAACATATTTCTCTAAAGGTTGTGATGTTTAGTTATTCATTAGCCTTTACTAAAATAATATGACATCAGACAAATATGGCAGTTTAGAAATAATCTTCTTTCAATGTCACAACAAGTTGTCAATGAGCAATTGCTTCGATCTCAAACACATGTTGCTAACAGGAAAGTTGCAGAGTGCCTTCTGGCAGAGAAACTATGCAACTATGCAAAGTTATTTATAGTTTACAATTATGTGAAGTTTTTAATCAGTTTGTAAGCTACATAATTATGTTTGGTTTTGTAAGGAACACTACAAGGATATGTGAGCAACTAAAGTAGCTAAAATAAATGCTACCAAACTAAAACAAAATAAATGCTACCAAAGATTTACTGTACTGTACCTTTAAAATCACTAAGGATCACATACAGTAGCTAAAGAAGTTCAGTTGCCTCTGATTACAAAAAAAAAAACCCTACAGTGGTGGCCATGCCAAGTCATACCAGTCTAAATGAATGAATAAGAAATTGTTCTGTATACTTTATTGGAGAGAGGAAAATGCTTTACTTTGCTGTTATGCTGATTAAGGTAGCGCAAACCAATCTACCGCAAGCCAGCTTAGCATTGCCCCTGTGACAGGGTATTTAGAAGAGTAGTGAACTGCAAGAAAGCTCAATTACATCCTCCCAGCATGTACTGAATAAATCACGTTAAATCCTCTTTTCAAGCCTGTCTTTCGGAAATTACTGGAATGTTACAGCAGAAAACACAGAGGCGACTGCAGCAGAGTAACTCCGAGGAGAAGAGCTTAGAGAAAACTGCAGAGTAATGCACAGCTTTGCAAAGCAACTTCCTGTTGTGACTCTGCCACGCCCAGAGAGAGTCAGAAAGCTGAAATGAGGCTGTAACCATGCAGTGCGATCACTGACATGCAGTACTGCAGATAGTGAGGACACATAAGGAAATATTTCTTAACTTGCTCTGGGGAAGAGCTGTGTCATAGCGGTTTATGGAGGAGATCTCGCACATATAGCCCTGTTTTTAGTAAATGAATGCATAATGCACACAAATGCTGCTTAAAGGCCGGTGATCCAATGACTGTATAAATGAATGCTGTCTGGAAGCATCCCCCTCTTTAGACTCCCGTAGCTCTTTGTTGCACTCTTTCCAACTTATTGGTTGCTTTTTGCTTTTTTATGACTTTATGAATTGCAGAGTGGTCAGAACAAAAGAGGAAAATTGACATAACTCTAAAGTAGCTATTGATAAACTGATCTATTCTTTAAGGATAGTTTTTGTATTGAAATGTCACATTCTGGCATATCTAAATGTCAGCTCCCAAGGTTGCCTCACCATCTGTCTAGCCTTAACGGTGCTTTTGAAATAATAGCAAAACTTAAAAAAAAAAAAAGGTTTATATTGAAATGAATGTTTTTTTTTATTTTTTCAGCCGGGGTAAATCAAAGCGTAGAATCCAGCACACAAATGATGCCAAAAGGGTGCTCTGCTAAAAACACTGCAAATGAACTGCCTTTCATTGAGTTCATATGTGTTTGAGAAAATAGTTATTGATGTTTTTTGGCTTCGCAAAGACGAAATGTGACTGGCATTTGTAGAGGAGATGTAAAGGGCATTATAATATGATGGATGGGCCGGTTGAGATATAGCTGCAGATGCTGATAAGATAGCAGAGCAGCAACGCGGAGTCTCTAAATTTTCTCAGATCAAGATCATGTGACTGGAAAAGCCTGTGACAGGTGTCTCTGGCAGCCCTGCACTGCCTGTTGTCATTGTCACCTATCAGAGGCACTATCTGATTAAAACTGGCCATCCACAGTCTCTTAGCTGTAGGTACAAACCAGCGTTCACTCTCTCGCTCTCTCCAAACATCTTATCGCACTTGCATGCAGGCTCTCTCTCTCTCTCTCTCTCTCACACTCACACGCACACACACACACACAACTATTAGGAGGGACAGCAGTGGGGGCATACAGTACCTTGCGTGTTGACTGGGTTGGTGGTGGGTGTGGGGATAGTAGTGGGAGCATCTAGATGAAAAAGAGTAAAAAATAAAGAACATGTATAAGAAATAAAGAAAGACAAGAGTAAAGAAAGAGACAAAAGTCATTGAAGATGAAAAGCTATACTATAAAAATTATGACATGCACACATTTTAGCTACGGTGTGAGTTACTGTAAGGTCATGCCCGTAGCTTTGAGACTGGTTCAAGGACAGAGCAACACTTTTTAAGTTTATCTTAAAACAGAAGTCAGGTACAAAGTCAGGCACCCGTGTGAACATTTAAACATCGTTTGCACTGTTAATTCATCCTCTTCTTACTGGTCCTAATGCAGCAGTTCTCCAATCAATTTAAGTGATTTGGTACCTTTTTTTTTTGCAAAACACAAGAAAAAGCAAAAAGAAAAAGAAAGAAATTCAAAACTTTTACAGGGCCTTGCCAATGTCAGTTAAATCAAAATCAATCAAGCACCTTTCAAAGTCACATTTTTTAAGTTATGAAATCTTTTTGTCTAACTAATCATCTGCTGCAGCTCTACAGAGAAACACTGCCCAGGAAACAAAAGGAGGAAATTGGGTTCTAAAAGAATTTGACTTTAGAGGATAGCCTCTTATTCAAGCCGGGGCACAGAAGATAAACTTTGTTTTGCAAAAATCGGGACTGCTTTTGTTCTCAATTTATTTTACTGGAAACGCCTAAGTAGCACGGACCAGTATGAGTCGGAAGATTAGAGCAAACAAACATGTGTTCATGTTCGTATGGACACCTGACTGGTGTTTTAATACAGACATGGAAAAATGTGAACCTGTCCTTCAAGCAAAAGCTGTGATGTAAAAGCTAACATCAGCATGTTAACATGCTCAAGCAACAGTGCTAACATGCTGATGTTTCAGAGGTAACATTTTTACCATGTTTGTCATA